AAAAAAAAAAAAAACAAAAAAAAAACCAAAATCAAAATTGGAACTGTTGACGAGTTATGTGTGCACGTATGTATGTACACAAATTGATCAACACTAACCAAATAGTTAAAGAAATGATCGTTCGACATTCGACGTTGCCACCAACAGCTGCAGCATACTGAAACCAACAACAACGTGTTAAAGACCGGTAAACCTAATTATTTGCGTACTTTCGATTTTTTATTTTTTTTCCTGCCATAACCGATCAGTGGGCGCTCTGACGTAGTACTATAATTAAATTATGAAATTAATGCTAGCAACAAATGTATCGCAAATAAAGTAAAATTTCAAAACGCTGAAGCTTCACTTCATCAAAGATGAGTCCATATTATACGGAAGAAAAAAATAATAATAAGTACTCGTAATTACGCTGCGTAATATATCCATTGGAAGACAATTATTTATTCGCTTATTTCTGGTAATTATATTTAAATTTACATAAACTATTTTTCGAGTATAAATAACATGTACTTTTTGCAATTGAAGCATAACAAATTCTTACCTTCAATCATCAAGTTAGTGTTAACCAGCAATAATGGTAAGCAAATTCATACAATTCATAGAAAAATATACAAAAGATAGGACCCGTTTTGTCAAAGGATAGACAAAACGATGATTTACCATCAGCCATTTATAAAACAGAAACATTTTCCATTGCAGAGATTCCTAGTGATTGCATTTGCTGTGATAGCAGTTGTTGGAGCGGCTACATTGCCGGCCGACTACCTGCCACCCGTTGTGGATAACAGTTTGCCTGTACAGGAATATTTACCACCACCATCTGCAGATGCGGTCGACGAGCAAACACTACTCGCTAATGATGGATACCGTTACAAGTCTGTACATCGACTCAAATACCGTCATCGTCGTGATGTAAATGAACTACCCCAAAACGAATACCTACCAGCCACAGAAGTAGCTCAAGAAAGTGAAGTGATTGAAGCCGCGGAACCAGCCGATGAAGTTAAGCCCGCAGAAGCCCAAGTGATCGCTGTGGAGGAAGCCACTGAACCCGCTGCTGAAGTAAAGACTGAATTGGCTGATGATGGGTACCGTTACAAAGTCGTTCGTCGCTTGAAATACCGCAAGCGTCGCGATGTCGATGAGCTCCCACAGAACGAATATCTTCCACCTGCCGAAGAAGGCCACGAAACTGCTGTTGAAGAAGTTAGTGAACCCGCTGCTGAAGTAAAGACTGAATTGGCTGATGATGGTTACCGTTACAAAGTTGTCCGTCGCCTGAAATACCGCAAGCGTCGCGATGTCGATGAGCTCCCACAGAATGAATATCTCCCACCTGCGGAAGAGGCCCAAGAAACAGTTGTCGAAGAAGTTAGTGAACCCGCTGCTGAAGTAAAGACTGAATTGGCTGATGATGGCTACCGTTACAAAGTCGTTCGTCGCTTGAAATATCGCAAGCGTCGCGATGTCGATGAGCTCCCACAGAACGAATATCTCCC